ACATAAGGATTCAATATTTGTATACATTGGGAAACAATCACCACAGTAAGTGTAGTTAATATCTGTCTAGGTTTGTAGCATCAAATCATACAAACTAGGTGGACAGGAAGCTATTTTAGAACCATTCATTGTTTTCTAGATCTCCTTCATCTTTGGGAAGATTCTTCTTCCCTACTTCTTTGTCTCTTCCAAGTGCCATGTGACAATGAGAAAACCACAGGAATGTGCTACAAATTGAAATCTTAAAATACACTGGCTACTACATATATATGTTTTTCTTTTTCTTTTTCCTTTGCCCTTTATAATTACATGTTTATTATGTGCCAAACACCATGCTAGTGCTTTTAAATACATTATCATTTTTTCTTTCAAAACCGTCCAGTGAGAACTTAAATTTCTAGCTCTGAAATGCTCTAGGTGCATTGACTTAAAATACCCTGAAAAACTTAAAATGGTGGGCTAAAATATCTCCTTAAACAAATCAGTGAATTGGCAGGAAAAGTAAGAAATGCTATAATTAAAGACTAAGTTAAAGGAGGAACCCAAGGAGGTAAGGGGAGTAACTGAAGCCAACATCTCCCAAACCCAGTGAAGTAGTTAGTATTACTACAGCCTCAGTCAGACCAGCCTGGGTGGGCACTCTTGCATAAATCTGAAACCTTCAGGGAGAGTGTAAGCTAGAATAAATCCACTCTTCCTCTAAGGAAATAATAAGCAAAATTACCTGTCTCTAAACTTGGTGTACGGGAAGGGAGGAGAGATCTCTTGAGAAATAGCTTGTAATAATTTGAGAAATAACTTTGCATGGTTTGCAGTTCCAAATCATGGGTTATTCAAAAGACCTCAAGCCTATCGTTTAATTTATGAGAATTGTCAAATGGTAATGCATCCATATGCTTGGCCAAAACATGCAAATTCTCTGTGGAAGATCATGCCTTCATCTTAGGCTTCAAAGTACTTCTACAGATAATATTCCAAGAAAAATAAACTCAGTCATAACTCTCTAGTAAAACCATCTCAGTCATAAAGCATCAGTGAAAGCCAGCAAGAAACAAAACACAGAATAGCAGGATCAGGTATTGGAATTATTAAATACAGAATAGAAAGCAAGTAGGTTTAAACGTGTGTCATAGCATTATGACTGTCCACTAATATCTATGTTCCATCTTGAACAATCGTATTCTTGTTGTATTTTTATTTATGTATTGTGGTTTTATACATTTTTTTCTGACAATCAGTGATTTTCTCATCTACATTAACTGTCTGTAGATTTTTTAAAGTGGTGATACGTACATAGGTAACCAGTGTGTAGAGCTTGTTTGGTGAATCTTCATCCTCGTTACATTTTCTGGACAATGGATACAGTATGGAACATTCCTTATTCCTTTGGCCCAGACAACTTTGTTGAGCCTGGTGTCAATGCGCACATCTGGAGTTCACATCCCCTTCATGGCAAATTTCCAGATCTCTGTGAATGCCCGAGGGGCGCGCTTCTTGAAACCCACTCCACGGATGCGCTTGTGAACGTTGGTGTATTCTCTGGTCACTACCTCGTTGATGGCAGAATGGCCCTTCTTCTTGCCACTCTTCTTTGTGGGAGCCATTCTACTGGGATTGGGAAGGAAAGCTCATAATCTCGAGTTTCAGTCAAGCACATACCCACTCTGCTACTCACCGTATTCTCCAGTCTCTCAGTTTACTGTAGCTGTATGACTATGTTCTGGCTTACGGTGTGTAAGCAGATAACAATAATCTCTCATGAGGTTAAAAACCAAGACAGAATTAAAACACTTGATGACATTAGAATATGAGTTGGGAACTGGGTAGTAATAATTAAAGTTCCAAGATTCTTATATTGTTTTGAAGGAGAGTAAAGATACTAATTACATATAGAATCTGATAAGTATGCATGCAAAAAATTTTAGGGTTATGCCTAAATGGTGGAATCTGGACTTGAATTCAGGATCTCTGCTTCCAAATAATTCTAGAAGAGAAAAAAAAAAGGATTTCTTAGACAGCTGTAGCCTCTCAACCATAAAATGGGATTGCTAGGAGTCTCAACCCCAGCCAGTCATTAAATGGTTCCTCACACTTCAGCCTCAGGAAGTGCTTCAGCCTCACAGCTATGAGGCAGATCTGCATCAGTCTTTTCCAGTACACTCTGTCCCCTCCTGACTCTCAGACTCACTCATTCAAAGTTCTTCATGTCTCTGACCACCTTCTGCTCCTTTCAAACAGGCCTTACATGTTGAAAATACTTGTTCACCTACAAATAAGCTATCTGAAATGTTGCTTCTTCCACAGAGCTTCTCATTAACAGTAATGAAGTCAGCAGACTTTGGTCACACAGACTGTGCACTGAAACTCCCATCTATCCACCCCCCTGGTCCAGGCCACAAGATGCTTTCCACATGAACTCCCAAAACCCTCTGCTCATTTAAGTCTGTTCAATTATACTCATTTAGCTGACTGTGTGTCCTTTGCTGCTACATCTGTGTCCAGACCAACATGAAATTTCTGGAGGACTCGGACTATGTATCTCCCTCCCCCAAAAGACTTGAAATCTCCTAATATGTTATCTGTGGTATACCCTACTGAGAGATGCTTCATTAGGTTGATGAGAAAGAATATCTGAAGGATTCCAGGGCAGAAAAGATCCTGCAGTTACCTCTGAAAACAAACAAGAGGGGAACTTCTTTGACAGAGGATGAGAAGCGGACCCTATACCGCCCCTTCATCTGCTATGAGCCTGACAGATGGCTTGTTCCGTACATTCAGCACTCCCCATGCCCTCAGCCCTCATGCCCCAGAGACCCCAAAGATGCCTTCATCAACCCCTGGATCTCTTTCCCCCTGTTTATTCAAGATGTGTTGTTGAGTGTCTACTGCATACCCTGCAATGCTCTGTCTTCTGCCTATAACCCAGACCCCTGGTTATTATTCTGAGTCTCATATTTCCATTTCCTTCAGAGATGTAGGGTACCACCCCTTAGCTCACTTCATTAGGGCACACAGAACTTCTTGACCAGGAAACAAGGTCTTTCAGTAGAACAGGTTTCTGGCCCCATCCCTACCTTAGAAGGTGGATCCCATCTACTCTGACAAATTTGATCTCCTCATACCATTCTACTTCCTGCTCTGACCCAACCAGTCCAGTGCCCTGCCTAGTGTGATCATGTCATTCTCCTTTCTCACCTTCCTCTTGACCCCTAGTCTATTCCTTCTCAATCTCGGTATTGTTTTTTTAACTGCTCACAGCTGGCAGAAGAACAAATCAACTTCCCAACTCCTCCCCAACCCATATGAAGCTATAAAGGTCCTTGCAGCTCTTCTATAATAAAGAAAGAGGCAAGAACATTGCATGGAGGAAGCTTAAGGAACATCCAGTCTTCTACTCAAGTTCAAAGTTCTTCCCAAGAACAAGTACTTAGGAGACCCAAGCTCTTGGAAGCTCCAGCCTTCATCTTTTCACCTTGAACTCTCCTTTCTTAAGAATCCTGTTCTTTGCCTTCTAGATCTTGGCCACAGCTGGGACTCAGGCATCCTATTTTCCAACAACGAGACAGATCAAGATGCAGAAAGGAAACATTCTCCTTAAGTGTTGGTTACTACTGCATCTCCTACTTTTAGAAACTGGTGAGTGATTTCCTTTAAAAATGGGTAATCTGAGAAACTTTGAGGTGCTTTGGGAGATGCTGACCACTGCTTGGACTAGCTCTGGTTCTCTTCCATAGAATGGGGATCATCATTTTACCCCAATCATTTCAATCTAATTAGGTATCACTCAGGAGACCGAACAAGTGGTTAAAACTATAGACTCTAGTCTCAGATTGCCTGTGCATGGATGATGGCTTCATTGTTGTTACCTGTGTACTTTGGATGAATTATTTAATTTCTTTGTCCTAAGTTTCTGCATCTATAAAATGGTAATAACCTGTGTGGTTCACTGGGGTTTCAACTACTAAGAACATGAAGAGTTGACTGTGGTATCATTCTTGCTCTTGGTCATCTCAGTTTTTTTCTAGTTTTACTCAAGATTCGGATCTTAACCCCAATTTATAGCATGTTGCAGATACAGGGGGCCTTCCCATAATAGAGCCCAAACTCTAATCCAATGTTAGTTCAGTTAAGCCTGAGGAGAAAATTCACATGTGTGGAATAAAGTGATAGGCACCCATGTTCCAGTTAGTGGTAAAATGAGCCACTAATTAATTTTGGTTATCTGGGGGAGGTTGAGGGACAACCTCCAGTGTTGTGAGGGACAAAAGAAAAAGAAACAACTTTAACTTTGAGTCTCCAAGAAGGTTGAAAAGATTTTGTATACTTTGCAGCCCTTAATCCTGGGAGATCATATATTTTTAAGCTGTATATGTCTTGTGCTTCTCCAGCCTTCGCCATAGAGATCAGGAGCCCTGGGAATTGATATATATATATCCTCACCCAGTCCCTTGTTGAAAGGCTACATCTCATTTAATCTAGAGTGGTTTGCCTATGAATCTTTATTATTAACAAGCTATTCAGACAATTATGATATAGATGTTTTCTTAAGAACACTGAAAAATATTTTCTCAGAAGGGAGCAATACTACTTTAAGAATGAATTAATCAATATATGCTAGTTTCACAGGGCTTCTACAATTCCTTTATAATACTAATTTGTATTGGATCTTGTACAGTGGAATATGGAATAAGTTTACCACCAGTGGAACTAAGTTATGTAACCCTGGTTGAGGCTGGGTGGGGAGGGCAATTTAGCATGGTAGCTGAAAGTGCAGATCCAATGCCCTGAGTACAAATTCCTGCTCTACTACTTACTATCTATCTGTATAAACATGGGCAAACGTTAACATTCCTAAGCTTAAATTTCTTCATCTTAGCTGTTGATAATAATGGTATCTAGTTCATAGGGCTATAGTGAATTATCAATGTAATGAATTTAACCATTTAACAGAAAGTATTTACACTCAATATGTGTTTATCGTCATTTACGATTATCAGCAGGTGTAACATCCACTGAGTTTAGCATACCAGGCAATACTGAAACCAGAATAATCTCTAATGGGACCAGTACAATCTCCAACACTAAATCCAGCACAGTCTCTGGAGGAACCAGCACAGTTGTCAACATTGGATTCAGCACAACCTCTGGTAGAACAAGTATAGCCTCCAACACTGCATCTAGTGTGACCTCTAATGGAACCAGTACAGCCTTCAGTACTGGATCCAGCACAACCTCTGGAGGGATTGGCATAGCTGCCAATACTAGTTCCAGCACAATATCTGGTGGTACCAGTACAGCCTCCAACACTGAATCCAGTGTGATCTCCAGTGGGTTCAGCACAACCTCCAATACTGAATCTAGTACAATCTACAGTGACACACCTGTCAACACTGGATCTAGCATAACCTCTGACAGAACTGGTACAGCTGCCAAAACTGGAGCCAGTGTGACCTCCAGTGAGTCCAGCACAACCACCAGTACTCGATCCAGCATAACTTCCAGAGAGAGTAGCACACCTGTGAACACTAGATCCAATGAAGCCTCAGGTGAGACCAGTATAGCCTCCAGCACTAGACCCAGTATGACTTCTGGTGGCACCAGCATGCCTGCCAATAGTGGATCTAGTACAACCTCCAATGGGACCAGCACAGCTGCCAACCCTGGATCCAGTGTGACCTCTAGCAGGACCAGCGTAGCTTCCAACACTGGATCTAGTGTGACCTCCAGTGAGACCAGTACAGCCTCCAACACTGGATTCAACATGACCTCCAGTGGGGCCTGGACAGTTGCCAACACTGGATCCAGTGGGACCTCCAGAGGGACCAGTGTACCCTCTGACATTGGATCTAATGTGACTTCCAGTGGGACCAGCACAGCTGCCAACATTGCATCAGGTGCAACCACCGGAGCCTCTGGCACACTTTCTCCAAATGGAACACACACAACTTCCAATAAGATTGGCACAAGTGCTACTACTCCAGTGAATGAAAAGACACCCAATGGGTCCCTGAAACCATGGGAAATATTCCTCATTACTTTGGTCTCAGTTGTAGTGGCTGTGGGATTCTTTGCTGGGCTCTTCTTCTGTGTGGTGAGTGCCTAATATGTAGGAAAGTGTCTGGGGGAAGGAGTGGTAGAAACATAAGGAAATGGGATGTGAATAGTAGGGCCACCAAGTTGGGGGGTGGGTTGGAAGGAAGGAAAGATCAGGAGAGTGTTACTAAAAAGAGGTAGCAAGTTAGAACTGGAAGAGCCGGGGATCCCTGGGTGGCTCAGCGGTTTAGCGCCTGCCTTTGGCCTGGGGCGCGATCCTGGAGTCCCGGGATGGAGTCCCGCGTGGGGCTCCCAGTGTGGAGCCTGCTTCTCCCTCCTCCCGTGTCTCTGCCCCCCCCTATGTCTATCATAAATCAATCAATCAATCAATCAATCTTAAAAAAAAAAAAAAGAACTGGAAGAGCCAATCAATGTGCAGAGGGAACTATTGAGTTGTGGGAAGAGAAGGCCAAAAGAAAGAATAAAGTCTAGAGGAAGGAGTACTAGGTGAAGGAAATGATATGAAGGGGGGAAGATTCCAGAAGGAGTCCTTGGTTAAGGCTTGGATAAGGGGATACAGTTCTGAAATGATTCACCCTTCTTTTTCTAGAGAAATTCCCTATTCCTGAGAAACGTCTTTGACACAGCTGTCTACTGCCCTCATGGCCCCAACCTTGGCTCAGGTCCTGGAGGGAATCACGGAGTCCACCACAGGCCTAGTTGGAGCCCTAACTGGTTCTGGAGGAGACCAGTATCCTCAATAGCCATGGAGATGAGTAGGGGATACAATAGGCCCTGAATGGCCCCCTGAAGTTAGAGTGCCCCTTTCTCCAAGGTGGAAGATGACCTGGGAGACCAGAGACCAGAGTCCTTTCATTTATCCCCAGAAGTCCCCTCTCAGCTTTGTTTGGGTCTCTGACAGCCTTGGCGAAGACACTCCCTAGCTCTTGCTTTTACCAGACTGTGAAAAGAGGAGACTCTATTGGTCATTTAGCTAAAAAATAAACACATCCAAAATATGTAACAGAATCTGTGTGTGCACATGAGTGGATGTCTATAGCGCCGAGTTGATTTTCCCAGTTGTATGAGAGAATCTCCATGCCGGAACCCGCTTGGCATTCAAAACCTTCACAGTAAAATGTCATTTTTGCCTGTCCCCTTTCTCTAATCCTTCTTGTCCCAAGCAGGACCAGTGTGTTTCTGAGACTCTCCAAATTGACAGGAGAATTGAATTGGGAGAGATGAGAAGGGAGGCAGGTGCCAGGATTCTCTGAGCTCACTGATTAGGCCTATGGTACACAGAGGTTACGTCATGGCACATAGAGAACCCAGAGCAAAAAAAAAAGAGAGAGAGAGAGAGAACCCAGAGCGTGATGAGGTGGACAAGTGCAATTACATGTGCTGTGGAGCAGGGCATGTTCACTCAAAATCATAGTTTCTTGGGCATTTACATTTGCTCTATACCTGGTCTACTTGTCAAAATAAAGGTGCAAGTTGACACTTTTCTCTCTCACAGTGAAGCAGGGAAAAACCAAGGGAACCAAGGGAAAAACTTTCTGGCTTTAACCCTTCTGGACAAGGTCTAATCTTTCAAGAGGCTCATAGCAGAGGCACCTGTGATAAAGCCTGTGATTCTCATGAGTCCCCTTCCAAAAGGGCTGAACATATCTCTTTCATGGGTGCAGGGGAGAAGCCTCCCTGTTCCTATAGGTCTTGGAGGACAGAGAGGAGCTATTTTGGAAGGCTGAGTTGCTCCAAATCCACAAGGCAACAAGAGAAATCCCATCTGGGACAGAACCCTGAGATAGAATTAGTAGTTTGTTGGGGGATTCACCCTGACTTGTAGCAGTGTAAACTGCTCTGCCTTCCAATATTTACTGGGTTTCTCCAGTGTGAGCATACCAGTTGATCCTAATCAATGAAGCCATGCTAAGCCCTATGCAGGCCCATCATCATCATCATCATCATCATCACAATTTCACTTAAAAGGATCCAGCAGCAGAAGGAGAAGCTGTGTTAAGTGCCCTGAAAATGTACCTCCCACCAGTGTGAACAGTGGAAAGCATACTATGAAGGTCAGGCAAAGGAAGCCGTTTAGATCATTAAAAAATGTAAACATGAATTTTCAAGTTTAAAATTGCAATAGAAAAATGGGAAGAGGCTGGCCACTGTTGTGAACAAAATTAGAAATCTGGAAGAGCAAATGGAAAAAACAGCTTAATTATACGCAACAATACAGAGATGAAAATCACCCAGAAAATAGAAGACACTTGCAGAATAGATTTAGGAAGACTAATATGCAAGTAATAAGGTTCAAAACAGAAAAAAACAGAGGTGGAGGGACGCCTGGGTAGCTCAGTGGTTGAGCGTCTGCCTTTGGCTCAGGGCATGATCCCGGAGCCGAAATCGAGTCCCACGTTGGGCTCTGTGCGAGGAGTCTGCTTCTCCTTGTCTGTCTCTGCCTCTCTCTGTGTGTGTCTCTCATGAATAAATAAATAAAATCTAAAAAACAACAACAACAACAAAAACACACACCCCCCAAAAAAAACAGAGGTGGATGAGAGGAAGTAAAAGAACAATAGAGAAGGTTTGAATCTGCATAGTGAAAGGGTTCACCAACTACAGCTCTGTAAATACAAAAATCATTGATGTTTATTTTTTTAAGATTTTATTTATTTATTTGAGAGAGAACAGAGTGAGAGAAAGAGCACAGGTAGGAGGAGGGGCAGAGGGAGAGGGAGAAGCAGACTCCCTAATGAGCAGGGAGCCCGTTGGGGCATGGTTGGGGCCTGATCAAGGACCCTGGGATCATGACCTGAGCTGAAGGCAGGTGCTTACCTGACTGAGACACTCCCACTGACATCTATTTTAAACAAGTGAATCATATGGTATGTATATTCTATTTCAATAAAGTTATTAAAATATTATTACTAGGCATATAATTTAAATAAAATTTTTGATTTCCAAAGATAAACAACAAATAACTCAAAGCAGTAGGCATTTCAGCACAGAGGAAAATGGAAAGGCAACAAAGTACAGTACGCCATTTAGCTTATGATTAATTCACATGGTTAAGCTGTATCTCACTTCTCCCAGCAACTGGAGCGTGCATGTAGTTTGGAAGCATCATTACTTAACTTTCATCATGGAATACACTTACATGGACTACTCATGTTTTAACTTGACAAAGCCACAGCTCACCAAGCATGTTTGATCCAAGTAGAGTCTAAGAAGTGGAAAAAATTAGTGCTGCCCCTTCCAGATCTCATGTTTTTGCCCTATTGATCTAACACAATGATCTTTGAATGGAATCTCTCCCATACACTTGGAGGTACATGAAGACTTCTAAAGAATATTATGCACGTATTGAATATTTTACAGAAATCATTTTTTAAGATCCTCATCTTTTCCCTAAACCTGATCTGTCTGAGAATACCTCAGGATATCAGGCCAGTTAGACTTTTCTAACTCCCATTTTACAATCATCCACCTTTTTTCTTTCTAGCCCCCATATTATTATGGTGCATTTCTCTGGGGTGCAGAAAATTCTAGGGTGCAAATGAAGGTGAAAATAACTCAAAATTTCTAATTTAGGCATCATGTACACAAAGTAGGGCTTCATGCTTTCCCCTACCACATGTAAAATCCTGTTAGGGACTAAATGGAATATAACAAACCTGGGAATTTCAATACGTGTTAGGATGTTATTCATTTAGATATATTATAGAGTGAGAGAGAAGTAATAAGAATTTCTGTTTTAACAGTCCCTTTTCTTGAATCTCCTGTCAAAGAATGCATCCCTCTTGAGAAAGTATCTCATGGAAGCAGAGCAAAGACAATATCAGTATGAAATAATAAAGGTGGCAGTCCCTTATTTAACCTAGGCAAAACCCTATGGCAAGTCAACCCACCTTATCTGTGCTTCTGCCTATTTTAAAATATTCAAGATTTGCAAAAAATTTGCTAGGAAATAGCAAATTATGTGAAGAACATCTCCCAGGCTTGTACACCATTCTCTGTCAGGGGATAAAACACCCTGTTCACCAATTTCTTGCTTAAATCATAGCTGTATATTTTGTATGATTTCAAGGAAGAGGATGTTACAAGTTCCGTGTTTACTTCCAAATGATTCATGTTATTCCTGAAGATGAAAGAAACAGAGAGAGGCTTTACAGTATGTCATCTAAGAATACAGATTGTGGAACTAGAATTTCTGATTTTTGGTTTGAGCTCAGTGTGACCTTGCACAAATTCCTTAACTCTTCTGGGTCTCAGTTTGTTCATCTGTAAAAAATGATGGTGATATAGTCCCCATTTCATGAGGATGCATGCATTTCAAGAGTGTATTAGTAGCACTACAAATTTTGTTATTGTTTTTTTTTTATTTTTTTTTTTATGATAGTCACAGAGAGAGAGAGAGAGAGAGAGAGGCGCAGAGACATAGGCAGAGGGAGAAGCAGGCTCCAGGCACCGGGAGCCCGACGTGGGATTCGATCCCGGGTCTCCAGGATCGCGCCCTGGGCCAAAGGCAGGCGCCAAACCGCTGCGCCACCCAGGGATCCCTGTTATTGTTTTTTTATATTGGGTAGGTTAATGTTTCATATTTTCTTGAAAATATGGAAAATAATTGCATCAGAAAACCTTTTTCATTTACATTCCACCAAATGATTATTGGGGACTGTGAAATTTAAACTTTAGAGTCTTACACACCACAGGAAAATATTTAAAGTGTTTATCAACATATCTTCTGGTATAATCAGCAACCACAGAAATACAAACAATTAATAGAGAATATTATTAAAGATTATATGCCTCAGATTGGACAGCTTAGAAAAAAATGGATAAATTCCCAGAAAAATATAATCTACCAAAACTAAAGCAGGAAGAAATAGAAAACTTGAATACACTGTTTACCAGCAATAAATTGGATCAGTAATCAAAAATCTCCCAACAAACAAAAGTCTAGGACCAGACACTTCACAGGAAAATTCTACCAAACATTTAAAAAGTTAATACTCATTCTTCTCAAACTATTTCAAAAAATAGAAGAGGGAAAACTTCCAAATTCATTCTATGGGGCCACCATTACCCTGATTACAAAACCAGATAAAGACATCACAAAAAAAGAGAGAGAAAGAGGAGAGAGAGAGAACTATAGGTCAATATCGCCAATGGCCATAGATGCAAAAGTCCTTAACAAAATACTAGCAAACCAAATCCAACAATACATTAAAAAAAATCATTCACCACAGTCAAGTGGGATTTTTCTCCCAGGATGTAAGGGTGGTTCAATTTTTGCAAATCAATCAACATGATACATCACATTAATAAGAGAGGATAAAAACTATATGAGCATTTCAATAAATGCGAAAAAAAGCATTTGACAAAGTACAACATCCATTCATGTTAAAAAAAAAAAAACCCTCGACAAAGTAGGCTTGGAGGGAACATACCTCAACATAATAAAGGCCTTATATGAAAAATCCCAGTAAACATCATACGCAATGGGTAAAAACTGAGAGCTTTTCCCCTAAGATCAGGAACAAAACAGGGATGCCCACTCTCACTACTTTTATTCAACATAGTACTGGAAGTCCTAGCCACAATGATCAGAAAATAAAAAGAAATAAAAGGTATCAAAATCAGTAAGGAAGAAATAAAACTTTTGCTATTTGTGGATGACATGATACTATATGTAGAAAACCCTAAAGACTCCACCAAAAAGCTACTGGAACTGACAAATGAATTCCATAAAGTCACAGGATACAAAATCAGTGTGCAGAAAGCTGCTGCATTTCT